TCCACGTTTCTTCAATGAATATCGAAAAAATATGATTTCTGGCGGTTTTCGGCGACGGTGTTTATACTTAAACGACAGGACGAGCTACTTCTTAACAAAACCTCGATACTTCTAATACAGGCTTTCGAGTTGGTTGCCTGCTGTTTTTAGGAACATTATATTCGGGCATTAGTGACTCGGTGTTACATTTGATAGGCTCCAAGAGTCTCTAGATTGTCGTCGCTTAAGGCGCGTTTAGCGATTCGTATCGCGGGTCGAAATATTGCGTGCTATTAATTTAACAAATATTCGAAACAAGATATGCGTATTTACACGATGTCGGTTTCTCGAGATCGATTAACGTAACAACGTTCCAAAACACGTGAGAACAGCGTGGTTAGTACTAGTAATATTCGAAAAGAAAACTCGGCGAACCAATTGTTCCTCTTCTCTTGTTGAACTTTAGTCGGACATAGTGTAGTATACACAATCGTAAAACTTTCGTTTTTAAATGAATCTATATTGTGTTGTGTATCTATATCGTACGTATGTATCGCGTCGCCTGCGTATATATGTACGTACGCATGTGTACGTACGCATTCCGTTGCTAGTCGGTTGAAATTTTTCGAACGACGTAAAATTGAAACAGTTGTAAATCTGTAACTTGCAAACGAAAGACGAGATGAGAGACGAAAGTTTCACGTTTTACGTTACTTTACGTTTCAGGTACACGGACGGACGAGGAAAATTGGATAGGAAAATTATTTGGTTAAACAGCTAGTGAGTCGCAACGGCCGACCGGGTGAAGCATCTAAGAGAGAGAAAGAGAGAGAGAGAGAGAGAGAAAGATTAAGGTTATTTGTATGGGGGAAAGTTCGTCGATGAAATATGCATAAAATCAAACAGGTGAATGAAGCTTTGCGATGGATCGATCCAATCAGCGGTTTTGAAGGTGCGAGGTTGGCCGTGGTGGAGCGTGATATTGGCGGTTGAAGAAGGGCAGCCAATTAGAAAAGTTGGCGAGTATCGTCGGTCGGTACTCGGTGTCGCGTGTGTTTGTGCTAGTGTATATAGGTGACGGTCGCGAAATATAGTAGCAGCCATCTTATATTTTGTGTCGGAGAAAAACAATTTGGCCGTAGAAATGTTTCGCGATTGTCCGTGAAGCCGCTCGAGAACGGGAGGCGTGCGCTCGATGAGGCGTGACGTTTTTCGACCCTAGTCCGGACCACTACATTAGCAAAGGTTCGTAGAATGCTGCTTTCTTGCTCAGCTACGGCAAAAGCGACTCCCACTTGCGAGGCGCTTGCGGGGAATCCGGTTTCGCAGTCGAGATATTCCGCCGTTTCTGCGGTCGCTTTTTTTAAAAATAGAGTCGCCCGTGTTGCTCGCCGCTGGGTTACGTTCTGTTGACGACGGAGCCGTGCCGTCTTCGAGTGGTCCGCGTAAAAGTTATGCAATCAGCTGATCATCCAGCTACCTTCTGTCACTTGTCAAAGATAAATGTCAAAGCAATTGATCTAACCTGACACGCGTGTATGTACATACGAGTCGGGCATGCATGATACCGAGATTACGAGTGTAACAGCATCGTTGCAAATTTATCCGCCGTAAGCAGTGTCATAAATGGCGATTCATAGAGGTTCCCTGTCATGCAGGTGGATTGGTACGCAGGATATGAGCAGCTTGTCAAGCGCAACCTGACTCTGCTCCCCCATCAAGAGGCAGCGCAGCAGCAGGAGCCGCAGTCGCAAGAGCTGGCTCAGCAGCAACAGACTGATATAATGACGTCCATGTTCGAACAACAAATTAAAAGCGAACCCATGGGGTTTTATTCTGTTGCTTCCAGCCGGTCTGATGGTTCCAACTCGATGGTGAACTTGTCGGACGACCGTGAGGACCTTTCGCAGCAAGAGGGTCACCTGCAGGCCCAGCAACAGACCACGCTGCAATTGAGTCAGCAACAACAGCAGGGCCAGCAGCAGCAGCAGCAGCAGCAGCAAAGCCAGCAACAACAGAGTCAACAACAGCAAACGCAACAGGGTCAACAACAGCAGCAGAGTCAAAGCGTGCAGCAGCAGCAGCAGCAGCAGCAGCAAGAAGTTCCAAGCCGTCAGTCGACCGGGCAACAAACGGTCAAAGAGGGCTCGAGGTCGAAGCCACAGCCTTGCAAGGTATGCGGCAAGGTGCTATCCTCTGCTTCGTCGTACTATGTACACATGAAGCTTCATTCGGGCAACAAACCATATCATTGTACGGTGTGCGAAGCAAGTTTCTGCCGTAAGCCGTATTTGGAAGTGCACATGAGGACGCACACAGGAGAACGGCCCTTCCAATGTGAGCTGTGCTTGAAAAGGTTTACTCAGAAGAGCAGTCTTAATACTCATAAGCGGGTACATACGGGAGAGAGGCCGTATGCCTGCGACATTTGTCAGAAACGTTTCGCAGTGAAAAGCTACGTGACGGCACACCGTTGGAGTCACGTTGCCGAAAAGCCGTTGGTGTGCGACAGATGTTCCCTCACGTTCACGTCGAAGAGTTCGTTTGCAATACACATTCGTACCCATACAGCAAGCACCACGTACGAGTGCAACATATGCGGACGTACGTTCGTACGCGACAGTTATCTCATACGACACCAAAATCGAGTACATCGCGATATGAGTCAGAGCAGTAGCAATCACAACCCGGCGACGCCGCAGAGTACCGGTGACGGGACGCCGGGCACAGGCTTCGAGAGTCCAGTTTGCGATTTACGGTACAGCGAGGGACCTTCCACGTTGGACGGCATAGCAGGTTCGAAAGGAGGGATCGCTGCTGAGATCGCGAGTCTAGCCAAGCAAAATAATCTTCAACTTCCTCTGCCGTTGCTGCATCCGCAGACCACCAACTAGTGTTTAGACGACAGCGTGTCCAAGCCCCTACCGCAGCATCAACAGTCACCGCAGCAAGTAGTATGTCCCACCTCGGCGTCCTCGCCGTTCACACTTAATTCACCCGTGTCTCACGAGCACGTCACGTCGCAGAGTGTCTACCAAACAACCGGCTCTTCCAGCTCGCTGGACAGCCTCAATTCCCAACTCTACCCGCAAATGTCGTCCCCCGTTGACACGTCGGAATCGCATCATCAGCCGCATCATCAACCGCACCATCAACCGCATCAGCAGCAGCTGCATCGCGGCATCCATCCGCAAGGGGTCCTGCATCTCTACGCTCAGTACTCGACCACCAGCAACTCTCCCATCTCGTACCCCGAATACATTCAACGCAACAATGAGTAAGTCTATGCCAGTTTATGCCAGCAGTTACGATTTTTACCACGAACCGAGTGAGACGGACTCCTCGATCGCGTCTCGTTTAATTTGGTGCTGGTTGAACAAAGTGCCTAAAGAGCATCCGCTTTCTGCATCACGACGGATGCTTACTCGTAATTGTCGATTAACGACTTACCATTTACCACTCACCACCTATCACCATTTACCATTTACCATTTTACCATTTTACCATTTTACCATTTTACCATTTATCATTCGTAATTAGCCAAACGACTTTTACGCACCGATCAATTTTTGTTTCTATCTCCCGACAAGAGAACCGAGTGGATCAATTGTGAATTGCACGTGTCTCCCGCTTACGTACCTATACTATACTTTTCGGTCCATTAACACGGGGCACTTAACGTGTTAAATGGATCATCTCTACAGTTTTACATTACGCATCTTAACGTGCTATCGGAACGTGCGTTGAACAGCATCGTTCCAAGGGGCGTGCACCACACCAACGACGATCGATCCGTTTCCTCGATCGATTTTCGATTTTCTTCGTTTTACTCGATCTATCGTGGTAGCATCGATGTTAGCATAAACTAACGCGCGCCAACCTTTCTCGCGACTTTTCCAACCACTCTATGTTTGATTTACCTGTTTTCCAATCACATCTGCGAGTACATATACATATATATATATAT